TCTCAGGATGCAGAAGGGAGCAACTTTGCTATTTGGTCCAGTAAGTGGACACCTTGTGATATAAATGTGGAAATAAAAAATAAAAAAAAAACCATTTGCACAAACCAGTCTGAGAATCATTTCTAATTTGGTCCTTTACAGCCATATCTGTTTATTCTGGATGGGCCAAGAAAACGTGTTCAAGGTTTGGGCCCTACAGTATGAGTCTGTACAGAAGTGGGTAGGCAAAGTGACCAAGTCAGCCTGTTAACATTCTTCATGGACACTGACCTCCATCTGCCTTTCATTTATTCAGCGTCACATGTTGCCTCTCCCACCTCAAGTCACGTACTGGCTTTGGGCGATAGAGACCAAGGCTCCATCCACATCAAGGAATGTTATCCTGTCTCCATCCAGGCCTCACCTGCCCCAGGGAGATTATGTGACCTTTACTTACTCCCTAAAATAGTTACAGTTTTTATATGGCATGGCACAGAGCCATGTCTGGCAGTGTGCCTCCTGGCCCTGGCCCCAAGCTGCCAACTTCCCATGCACACCTGGAGCTTAGATCTGGCTGGTGCTGATTTTTTTAAAAAATAACTTTTCTTCCTTGACTGTAAAGGGATAATAAAGAATCATTTAATTCTCCACCTTTGTCCCTGGAACAATTAGATGACTTTGGTTTTCTAGTTTTTCCACTCCAGGATGGTCATCTTGGACATATCTACTTAATTTCACAGATGGAGAAGCAACTAACGCGTAAGAAGGGTAATCTAGGGTGAACCTAGAGGTCCAGTCAATCCAGAGCCACAGTTCTAGAGCCAGTGGGGTTATCTGACAGCCTTCCTTGGTTTGTTGTAGGACACACCCACCCCAAGAAGGCAGTGTGTGATGTGGCTTTGAGGGCAGTCTAAGGCTGAACTCTGGCCCTGCTATCTACCAGCTGTGTGGCTCACTTCACTCCTGTATATGTCCCCATTTGGGAGATACAAGTGCTTGCTTCAGAGTTGTAAGACTAAGGTAAATGACCAAAGTTTTTTAAGAAGCACTTCAGTGGAACCATCTGTGCTGTGGAGTAACTAGTTCTTTCCTAACCTCAGTGTGCCTGTTTTTCTCACTCTTAATGTGGCCAGCCCTGCTGCCATGTGGATGTCTGAGGAAGTGACAGTACTCTGTGACAAGTGGTGACCCACACAGCTGGGAGATATGAGGGTTCAGTTTAGTGTCACAAGTATATCCTTTCCTCAGACCTGGGCTTTGGGACAGGTCTCTGCTCCTTGCTATAGGGACCACCTCTCCTGACTGAGTATCGAATAAGTTCCGTGGTAGATACTGCCTGCCTTTGAGAACCAAAGTTTAAGATAAGGTTTTTCCTCCAACATTTTGGAGATTGATGGACTGCCACTTTCTAATTTGCCAAGTAAGGACACTGTAAGAGAATTTTATTTTTAAAATATATTTTATTGATATTTTACAGAGAGGAAGGGAGAGAAATAGTTAGAAACATCGATGAGAGAGAAACATCGATCAGCTGCCTCCTGCACATCTCCCACTGGGGATGTGC